TGCCCCGGAAGAACCAAGAAGAACAAAGAACATGAGAACCTAAAGACTTAAAAAGACTGCATACACGAAACCCTGCAAGATGTGAATGGAGGTGCCCAGTGGCCAAAACCTTTACACTCCCAAAACCTAGAAAACAGTGGGAGCTGTTTTGCGGCTATGCTCCATTAACCCAGAAGAACATTTCTGACACAATTTAAACGCAAAATACGCATGGCACTGTGGCAGGAGCAGGGTTTTGTGAAGCGGTATGCACGGGTGTGGCAGGAGGACGATCTTAGCGTGAAGCGGCATCCTCGGCTCATGCAGCCGGCACCGGACTATGACAAGCAAGCACCTTGTCAGCAACAATGGGCGAAAGGGAGCGAAGAATTTCACACCTGAAAGGTTTAAAGGGGTTGGACACACGAAACCTTAGAAGACGCGGGTAGCTGGCCACAACCTTTCCATTCCCAAAACCTAGAAAAAAGTGGTAGCGGCTGTGCTGTGCCCCATTAATCCAGAGAAAAAACTGCGGGGAGGCAACAACCCAAACCCCAACTTTGCAAAGGAATCAATGGCAAGCGCTAAGCCTAAACCCAAAATCAGCCCACAGGAAAAACAACAGGCGCAGGAAGATGACAAATCCCTTTCAGTTCATGCTTCCAGCATGGTGGACAGCAGGTGCCCCAGACCAAGAAATGGGTGTCACAAAAACATCAAGCCTAAAAACAGCTATCCCGAGAAGGAATTGGGGGTGGCAAGCTTGCAAATGAAGTAACTGCACTGCTGCAAAGTGCCTAGACCCTAGAATTGTGGGCGCCGTGAGGGGGGAGTGGCCAAACCGAGTTGACCCCGGCAAGAAAAGCGGAGCGGCAAAGGCAAGTTTTGACCTTAAATAGGCGTGGAATCGCAACTTTGCAAGCTTGAAGGTGGCAATAAGCTAATCCGAAAAACTTGCGCCTAGGCGACAACAGGCGAATGGCCACCCTGGACCCTGAAAGGGGACAAACGTTGCAAACTGTCAACCCGGCAAGCGAGTGGACAAGCCTCTACCTAAACGGGGAGCAACTGAGGAACACCTAAATAAGTAGCCCACGCCCCACATGCCAACACATTGTTGCGGGAGCACAAGCTGTGGGCAAAGCATGACTTCGCCAGGTGGAAAAGGACTTCTGCACAGAACTCCGTCTTTTGCACCCGAACATCGCGAAGCACTGTGGCAAGAATGCCATTGTGAGGCGGAAATGTGCTGGTCGGTGGCGGGAGCACGACCTGACCATGAATTCGGCATCCTCGGCGGATGCAGCCGGCACCGCATTATGAAAATAGTTGTGTCGGCAACAAGTCCAATAGCACTGAATGCCAGATTCCAAAAGAAACCCATGGCAGTAGCATGAGTTACCACACTCCTTGAGAAAAAACATTTACAAGGCCGGAGGTCGAGAACCCCATTCAAACTCCAAAAGCTGCACTCACTGGCAGACTGTAAACTGTAATGTCTAATGTTAAAAATGCTGAAAAGACATGCCCTGGAAAGGGCGAAGAACTTGGAAACCTTAGGGAGATTGTATACACTAAACCTAGGAAACGTGAATGGAGGCGCCCACTGACCACAACTTTTACACTCCCAACACCTAGTATGGAATCGGAAGGGCAATGCTTCAGCAATCCAGCAAGGAGACTCCAGTGCAGCGAGGCAAAAACCCAAACACCGATCTTGCAAAGCAAGCAATGGCAAGGCTTGGGCCTA